TAAGCTGTACCCCCCCCCCCCCCATAGGTGTGGATCCTTTTGGCTTTCAGACGCTCCACCGCTCCTGGAATGAAGGAACTCCTATGGAATCAGCCAAGAAGCGACTCCATGCTGCTTTTGAGTTTTTCACCAAGCTTGGTGTGAGAGACATTGCCTGATTTTAAAAATGAACTTTAACCTTGTAAAAAGCTAATCAGAGTGAACATTGGCTACCATATGTTGTTTATTTCCTTTGTGACCTATGCTTGTTTTCACAGGTTAAATATTACACATTTCATGACAGGTAATTGACCAGAGTTCTTTTTAAGCTGAAGCTGATCAGAGGTTTACTTCTACAGGCCTAGTTGTTGTCAATCTTCCTGAGCAAGTAGAATAAAACTAAATTTGGGGGGCTTGCATAATCAAGCTGCATATACTTTACATGTAGTTGAATAATTGTTTATATCAAGTATTAACTGATCTATCTAGTGCCAGCAGGATGCCGTATTGCTGTAATGCCAGAATATAATTTTCAGGGCATAAAACCTTTAAACCCTACTTCATTCACTGCTCCTTTGCAATGTGCCACTGGGCCTGCATTCAGTGGTATCTGAAATGAAGAAAGCTTTGATCTAGACATTATTTCTGCCCTATTCTAGTGTTTGAGACAAAATCTAAAGCTGTCCTCTGTTTCCTACAGAGACATGGCTCCTGAGGGCTCCACACTGATGGAGTCCAACAGGAATCTGGATGAAATAACAGACCTGGCTCTCCAGCTGCAGAGCCAGACAGGAGTCAAGGTGCTCTGGGTCACCTGCAACCTCTTTTCCCACCCGAGGTCAGATATTTGGAAACCTTTGCAGTTAAAGCTGTTTTCTTAAAGCTATGTTTTAGCAGGGCTAGAAGCAGAACCCCTAATTCTGAGAAACAATGTAAAATGTATGTGACAGGTATATGAACGGTGCAGCCTCCAACCCTGACTGCCATGTTCTGGCCTACGCTGGTGCTCAGGTCAAGAAGGGACTGGATATTGCCAAAAAGCTGGGTGCAGAAAATTTTGGTATGAGGAATTTGATTGTGTTTAAATGTAAAATACTGATGTTTCTTCCTCATTGTGTTCAATGTATGTCTTCTCAGTGTTTTGGGGAGGGAGAGAAGGTTTTCTTTCCATCTACAATACTGATGTTGGAGCTGAACTGAAACACATAGCTAGTTTCTTCAAAATGGCTGTTAGTAAGTGTTCTCATGAGTAACTTTAATTCCAGGTCAGTGATTGTCATGTGCTAAGGATGTGTCACAGTTGCATGTCTGTTTATTTGTCACCAGAGTACAAAGAGAAGCTTGGTGCCAAGTGTCAGTTTCTTATTGAACCAAAGCCTAAGGAGCCTTGCAAACACCAGTATGATTATGGTAAGGCTTCTCAGATTTAAACAAAATATATCTGCTTTTTTATTTTACCATTTTAATGCTGTTACCTTTTTCCTTTAAAAGATGCTATGAGTGTTATAGGATTCCTTAAGCATTATGGACTGGAGAGTCACTTTAAGTTGAACATTGAGCCCAACCACACCACCCTGGCAGGACACTCCTATGAACATGATGTTGTCATGGCCTCTGCGTAAGACACCCTAATTGCTAAAAGAAATTTTGCTTGATAAGTGAAGATGGTGCAGAGTGTTGCTGCTTCACAATTTTGTCAGATCCACAGCATATTTAACATAGTCTAATGCCTGCTTTACCTTTATGTATGCTAAGTGTTCCTTATCATCCTTGCTTGCTGGTGAACAGATTTGGTATGCTGGGTTCACTTGACGCAAACACTGGTTCTCCTGACCTCGGATGGGACACAGATCAGTTCCCCATGGACATCAGGAACACCACTTTGGTCATGAAGGTGAGCTAATTTATCGCGTTTGTAAAATGAATTTATTGTTAGTGATGTTTCTAAAGGTGACGTTGTCAAAAGACTTTGCTTCAGCTAACATTTGTATATGACCCAAAATACTTAGCAACCTTATGACATTGATATGGCTAACATGTTAGCAAACAGTTGCCTATTTGCACATCAGAGCAACATTTAGCATTTGTTTAGAGTTATATTTCTGGCTACATGGTGAATTTAAGTCAAATATTTTTCTCTGCTTTGGTCTCCAACTCCTAAAAAATATGACTTTTTAGCAGCTAAATGCTCTGGTATGTTCACCAGCTTGTCATTAACTTTGCCTGTCTGCCATCTTGTACTGGATAGGCAGAGTACAATTGGATTATCTGAGGTTCCTTCAGCTGGTTCCTTTGGCAGCAGACAAAGTTAATGAGAGTTGAACTGGAAAACTGATAAACAAGCAAATAAAAAATTAGCTTAAAGAGGCAAAAAATTCTCAGTAGAGCTGAGGGGAACTGCAGAATCAGCAAGCAGCTCCCTTCACGTTATAAGTGTTTGATCCATTGTTAATGGGCAGAAAATTTATTTTCCTCATACCAAAAATTAATACCTTCATGACCCTATATATTTTATGGACAATAATACACCTGTCAACAGATTTGAGGATGTAGTTGAGAAGTTTAATAGGTTTTTTTGTGAATGTGGGTCCTGGCTTAGCAAGTAGCATTTGTACAGACGTCATTATAAATAACAATACAATTGAAAGGAATATGAGTTCTATGTTTCTGAAGCCAATAGTTGAAAAGGAAATTATAGATATAGTGAACAAATGTGGTAATAAATCATCCAGTGATAGTGATGGTATCAGTATGACAATGGTTAAATGGGCAATTGAGGGGATATGCAAACCATTAACCCATGTTTTTAACATGTCGTTTCGACTTCGTCAGTTCCCCAATAATATGAAAATAGCAAAGGTTATTCCACTGTATAAATCTGGGGATAAGCACAACTTCACAAATTATAGACCGGTTTCTCTGTTGTCACAATTTTCAAAAATCTTGGAAAAACTC